GAGTGGGTGGTCTTTTATTTATTTCATTTGCTTTTGCATTTTATGAACTATGTTTGAGACGCATGAGTCATGTTGAACAGTTTTGCAAACGTATGTTTTGAATTGTTGAATTTGGGATATTCTGATAAATTTATGTTGGTTTGGATATTCTTGAGTACGATTCAATTAAGTATCATGTCGTTTTCGAATATTCATTTGGTTATGTGAAGCTGAATATTATGTAGTATGTTGTGAAAACCGGGTAATGAATCCCCGTGGACCCAAATAAGCCTTGGGGTTATGTAAATTGTTGTTTAATGCCCATGAATTTCGAAAATGATTTCGCAAAATGTTTACTTGATTTTTGGAAAGCCCGGAATTTCTTAAAAATCAAAGTGGGGTGTACAGTTTGCTATCATAGCCAGTTTGCATTTCTGTAGACTGGTTTATATGTGACTATGTGATATTGACCTTGTGTTGACCACTCGTCTCCGTCATGCTGCTCTACTTTAAGGTATGTTTTATATAAGTATCGACGAAAATACTTATGGTATGAATTGTGAATTTGAGCTGCTTGAGTTATGATTGTTGATGATTGGGGCTTAGGATCTATCCACTTTGTTTTAAGTTGAACCCTAGTGTTGATGAACTCTAGAATATTTCTTTGCTAAACTTTTCGATCTATTTCTAATGTAGATCAATGGCTAGGCAAACCCGTAACAGCCAGCAGAATCAACAGCCTCCCCCGCCTCCACCTCCGCCTTATCAGCAGGCCCCGCCTGCACCGAACCAGGATTTTCTCAGGCTCTTAGTCCAGTTCCAGGGCATGCACCCACCACTTTTTGGGGACCGAGATCCCCACAGCGGTGCTGGAATGGATAAAGGAGCTCGATAAGATCTTTGTTGTGCTTCCTCTCTTAGATGAGCAGCGTGTTTCTCTTGCCGCCTTTCAGATGAAGGTAGATGCTTATGATTGGTGGATTGATTATTTGAGGATAGAGGCTGAGCATAACGCTCTTACTTGGCTCCAAATGAAGGAGATTGTTCGGGGCAAGTTCCTGCCACAGAGTTTCCGTGACCGGATGGAGCACGACTTTTGGCATCTGCAGCAAGGCAACTCCAGCGTGGATGAGTATACATGCAACTTCACTAGGATGAGCATCTTCTCTCGTGAGATGGTGAACACTGATGAAAAGAAGGCCCGAAAATTTCTGAAGGGGCTGACCAGAGGATCTGTGAGCTGGTAGGGAGTCAGGGTTTGATGTCCTCTGCAGATACTGTGCTTCAGGCACAGGAAGTGGAGAGTTGTCTTATTCCTATAGCTCCAGTCCCCTCCTATTACCATACTTCTCAGTCTGCCCAGACTTTTATTCAGTATGCTCAACGCATTTCATCTGTGTCGCCTGTCTCTAGCTCGAGAAAGAGGAAGTCCGACTTCCAGAACAAGAAGAAAGGAAAGAAGGGGAATTTTGGAAGGCGCAACAACTGCCCCACCGGCAACCAAGCCTGCTCGAGATGCAGCAAATCCCACAGTGGCGAGTGCCAAGCGAATTAACTGACTTGTAGTTGTTTATGGGACTGTCTTGACTTATGTAGGTGTCTGACGAGCAGTGTCTCAACCACCTACGGCTTTCTTGTTAATTTGCTTTATCATTCGACACCAGGTGGGTTTTGAAAAATTACTATGCTTTAAATGTTATTACTGTTTTAATTGTGGTATGATCAAGGTATGCATGTGAATCAGGTAGCCTTCGGTGTGAGCTGTATCGGCCACCGGACGGTTATTCTCGTAATTATATAACGGACCCCGTAGGGGTAATCCCCTCTATGCGCCTATGAGACCAGGGCGGTGATCGGTCGAGGCATGAGACCAGGGCGGTGCTCGGTCGGAATTATGAGACTAGGGCGGTGCTCGGTCAGTTCCCCGTTGTGAGTCAGGGCGGTGCTCGGCCGACGGGGGAAACTCCTACTGGCTGGACACTCGTTGTATGACCAAAAGGCCGAGGGTCGTGGCTTTCGATATATAGTCGGCAGTAGTCTATTGATATAGGTGTGCACATGAGTCTATTATTGGTATTATTGATTATTGATGGGAGAATGGGATAGACTATTGCTTCGTATACATGCTGACACCATACCTTTTGATTACTGATTATTGTTGATTATTGTCATTAACATTTATTGCATAGCGGTGAGCACTATTGTTCCTCTTGTGCTCATCCCCACCTTCTCTTCATTAATGCAGGTTAGTATTACGGGCACGACAGGGGGAGGCGAGTGGTGGTCTATAATTGAATGTTGCTTCTGCCTATTGACTTGTCTTACGATATTATTGCGTTTTGGAATAATGGATATTGGATTATTGAGAATTGAATTATTGTTAAGGAGATTCTCCTTATTTCCTTTTGAGGATTTATGATTGTTTAAATGAGGAATGATGATTGAGAATTGTGATTAGTGTTGATTATTGGAAATCGCTTCTGAAAAAGAGTAACGCCTCAATTAGTAATGAAATAAATTTGAAAAACTTATTCTGAATTTCGTCTATTAAAAGTGGGGTGTTACAGTCATAATATTCTAAGGTTCGCCATTAAACACTATAGTTCGATTTAACCAAAGGTGGATGGATTTCCTAAGTCCCGATTTATCGTATCAGTATCAAATAATACATTATCATCTCAAAATCACTTAGGTATTCATACCTGAGTTGGCGCGGCACGACGAGACCGAGTGGTCATAATTACATCATAATATTCAAATGTTTTACAGAGTTCATATAACTCACATATAGACCAGTCTACAGAAACGCAGTCTGGCTCTGATACCAAAACTGTAATGCTCCACTTTCATTTTAAAGAAATTCCGAACTTTCAGAAAAATCAATGTAATTTTCAAAATTTATTTCAAAATCATTTATGGCGTTACTCATTCAAAATCCGAATCAACCTCACAATTAATCATCAACACAATAATATCATAGTATAATCAACTCCCAAAAAGGGTTCAACTTAACTCATCCATCACCCAAATCGGGTTTTCGAAATCATCACAGTGTTCACGGGGCATCTCCCCAAAATTACTTCAAATCATCATAGAATTCAAATTTTTATAATATTATAAGTTATAATTCAGTTTACATAGCAGAAGCAACAAAATATATCTCGGTCATATAGACCGACCACCACTCGCTCCCTCCACCGTGCCCGTACTTTTTTAACCTGCATCCGCGAGGAAACAGGTGGGGATGAGCACATATGGAATTCGTGGTGCTCACCACTATACAATAAACAACAATCACAATATATACATGTATGGCCACAGCATGTATATAAATCAATCATTTATCCAAATTTTCCATCATATATCATAAATCAAGACTCATGTGCACACCTACGCATAGACTACTACTGGTAGACGTATCGAATGCCCCCAGGGCTTTTTCATCGAATGCCCCTCGAGCTTTTTACGTCTAATGCCCCTCGTACTTCTACACCGAATGCTCCTCAGGCTTATATCGATGCCAGTAGTAGGAGTAAACCCACGGGTTTTGTTTTCTAGTTACGGGGATAACCGTTCGACGGCCGACACAGCTCACATCGACGGCTACATAGTTCACATGCATACATTGATCATACCACATGTAAGGCAACAATTTATTGCATAGTATTTCAGATAAAACCCACAACAAATAAACCATTTACGACATAGCAATTTTAGAATAACAAACCCACAACAAATAAACCATTTACGGCATAGCAATTTTAGAATAACAAACCCACTTGGTGTTCCGGATTGACAAAACACAACAAGTAGTGGGACGTAGGTCGAGGGCTCTACTCCTCAAACACCTACTTTTAAGCGAGATAATACATCAATAATGTATCTCACTACTCGAATTTAATATAAAACTCATACTTAATAAAAATTAAGACTTAAGGGTTTTAATCGGATTTTTAGTGGACTTGCAACTCTCACATTTTAGAAAAATAGGACTCGGAATACTAAATTTGGAGTCTCGGGACTTAAAATAATTTTCCCAAATTTTTCTCATTTGAAAATAATTTTTAAAATTGAAATCGGTACGAAAAATGGGCTTCCAGAACACAAAAAGGCTTAAAAAGAAACATCTGGTCTGGTATCCTAAAATTGGGCCAAAAATGCCAAAGCATTTTGGCCTAACTCGCTCTAATTGGGCCGCTCAAAGACGGTAGGTCCGCGGGTTGATGGAGGACTGGATGCGGGCCAGAAATTGGGCTCGCGGGCCTGTAAGCGGGCTCCTACGACTGACAGAGTTTGGGACGCGCGGGCCGAGCATTTCTGCTGGGATAAAGGGCAACTGGGCTCTCAAATTTGGGCCTCACAGATTGACATAAATTTGGGCTACGAAAATGAAAAGAAAACTGGGTCGATTTCCCTGCTAAACTCCATGGGCTGACTAAATAAACTCCACAGGACGTTAACAAAATTTTATAAAAAAAAATCTTGCTATTGAACAGAAAATCAAAGCTCAAATAGAGGATGCGTAATGGAGAACGGAGCTGGGGAAAAATTTAACCAAACGTGACGACGATGTATCCAAAGGCATCCGGGTTCGAGAATTTATAACATCATCGATATTAACATAATTTCAGAGTTCGAGAAATATTTTAAAAACAGGTTTTCGCTTGGGAAAACAAAACGACTATTTAACGTCAACAACAATGGCTCGAATATTAATATCGAGACTCTGAAACCAAACGAATTATTCTCAGCAGCAACAAGACTCAATCTTTACAATAAACGAGAGTTCCAATATGTCCATGTCATTTCACGATTTCACACAATAATTATCTGAAATTCAACGAACGAACCGATAAATAAAACAAACACAAAAACCAACAAAATGATTTACGAGAATGAAAATAATTCGACGAATAATCACGAGCATGAATATATCAAGGAGGTTCGGAATAGATTACCCGTCTTCGGGAATCTACGAGTTTTTTTGAAAATGGTCCAGACAACGGACCGTATGAACAAACTCAGAACTTCGAAAGCTCGACGGGACTGCCACTGTGCTCTCTTGGACGGGCTGAGGGTTGCCCGCGAACGTTTTCCAGGCCTGACTGAGACTTACAGCGGTTGACGGCAGCAGGAGAAAGCCTCACTGGAGTGCTTCGCCGAAAAGAATGGTGAGCGAAGCTTTGCCGGAGATTCTCAAACGGAGTTTCGGGGTCTGATGCGAGCCACACGATTCTTCTACTGCTTCTACCTCGACGACGGCGGACGGGGAGGACGCGCGGCGACAGAGTTGCAGGTCGCCAGTAACAATGGAGACAATCAATTTTTCTTATTTTTTTAAACAACAAACGAGAGAGATGAAGACAGAGGAGATGAATTTTCTTGAATGATGTTGGAATTCCTCGCGAGATATTTGAAGGTGAGAGTCGGTCATGGGCTCAGAAAAATCACAACAAAAGGAACGTTACGGAGAGAAGGAATCGGCCGCAGGGAATACATTATCTCCTACAATCTGCACGTGATGCTCAAGAATGGCATATGATCAATTTCCCATTGGGCCACAATGAATTAAAAGAGTTGGGCCATGGTTATATAGTTTAAAGGGCCAAGAGCATAAATGATTACAAAAGAAATGGGCCAACATTATTTAAAACAAAAGATTGGGCCATAAAATAAATCAAAGGGTTGGAATTAAGTTCCAATTGAGCCGAGATTTTTATATCCGAAGAATATCGATGATATTATTGACGACGAATGAGTATAATAATACAACATATCATATTAATTACACGACATCTAATTAAATAATAATAGATCTAAATGAAAGTTGTCGAGTAATACCGGAATTATACGCAAATAATAAAAGAAAATAAAGCACGATAATTCATATAATCCAGAAAAATCCAATATTCGAACGGGGCGCTACAGTCCAACATGGTCCGTGAACGATCCGGGACTAGTTCGGCTGCCCAACGTACATGAAACTCAGACAATTTTCAACAACGGATGTCAGAAACGTCTCAGGGTCGGCAAAAATTAAAAATGGTACGCGTTGAACCCTCGCTTCTAGTTCAGTTATGTTTAGGGTTTAATTCATAGATAGTCCGTGACTTGCATAATTTCGAGATCCTCACAGATCCCAACAGAGGTACCTGTTTCTAGAGGCTACCTAGATTTGCTGAGCTGGCTGCTCAAAACTTCTCGGGTCTGCCCGTCCGTACACATAGTGTGCGTGTGTCAGAAACAGTTATTGGTATTGTTAGAGGTATGCTGTAAAAGCTGTGTTTTGCAGTTTCTATCAATTCCAT